CAATCCAGATGATGACACTATGCGGATGACCCGGACCTCTTCCACCTCACGATCTACACATGGATTTGTCGTTACTACTTCGAACCGACCCCTTTCCACTGCGGAGATTCGCGCCACTATGAATCGTTCCCGGTCTTGATCTCGTCCTCGCTCGAATCCGAGAGACACCTAGTTTCATTCTTCCATCTCGACTGGACCGCTTGAAAATAAGCTACGGTTTCTCTGTTTTTTCGGTTCACATGTTTACACCTTGGCACTGTACCTTTCTTCTTCCTTTGTTTTTTTCCTTTGGCTCCAGCTTGTCTCTCACGGTTTATTCTCCATGCCCTCCTCCTCCTTCGTTCGTCGCCGCCTTGCCGCCATGTCTTCTTCGACTTCGACATCGCTCTCTCCTCCCACAGGACTTGCACCAGTTGCTGGACTATATACCTCTTGCAGCTCACGCCGTGCTACATCGGGAACTTTTTCATATACATTCTTCTTTGCAGCTGATCCTCACGATTCTACGAGGACCTTGGGACACCTTGACTCCTGCCCTCGCGGACACCATCACCTGCCCTCGTCTTACTGCATACCTTCGCGGACTGGACGCCAGTATTGATCAGATCAAACGAGCCACCTGCACTACTCTTGTTTACACCGACCAACTTTTCGAGGCTTTGGGCTTACTACATCTTACTCACTTCGACCGAGGACACACTCGATTGACAGCCCAGTTCCGCGACCAGACCACCTCTTTGGATACATCGGTTTCGCCTCCTTCTCCCTCTTCCTTCCTGCTCCGTTTGATCCTTTCTCCACCCTCTCCCCTGCCGGTTCCTTCGACGCCTACTTCGACAACTACCACGGGACCACAGTTTCTCGTCCCATCCCCATCTCTCGCCCCTGGGCCTCCCCTCACCCTCAGTTTCCACCCTCACCGCCCACACACCTCACCGGCGCTTTCTTTCCCCCCCCCCCCCTCGCCACCCCCCCACCCCAGGAATCCCCTCCCCCCCCCCCCCCAACCGCAAGCAACAGGCCCACCCCCCTCCAACCCCTACGCCCCCAGACCTCGCCCCAGACAACCACGAGCCCCTCGCGCTGAGCGCTCCCCCTTGACAAGGCATTATGATCGGCGACGCTCACGTTCACCCAGATCCCGCCAACGCCATTCTGCACGTTCAGGCGTAAAGTCCAGTTCTCCTGTTTGCGACTGAGTACGTCAATAAGGCGTACATCCTCAATGGGATGATGATCAATCTGAAGTTCACGGCTCCAAGCAGTTGCGATGACTCGACGAGGAAAAGTCAATTTGTATTCTTGTTGTCGATCCAGGTAAATGTCATCAGGAGTCCAAGCTTTGGGTAGAGTGTACCGAGTCTCAAAGGTGTTGGAAGAGGAAGGAGTCTCAACCGGTAGGCCTGTGGATTTCCTGCGTGGAGAGCGAGAACGACGGGAAGTGCGACGATCACGTTTCCCTCGGCGGCGGTGAGGTTCAGGGGAGCTGCTCGTAGAACGTCCGCGGGCCATGGCGAGGCGAGGTCGAAATCGAAAGATATGGAGACTCGGAATCAGGATTCACAAAATTCACAAATTGAGAGCTGAATATTGAGGGCAGCAGAACGGTTGAAATGCGAACGAAAAAAGGAAACAGTAAAAGGAAAGCGGACACAAAAAGGTAAAGGTGCACTTTTTGGACGCTTCGCACGGATCTGAGAGCCAAAAGGTGCAGTAAGTAGCGACCCTAACCCAACTGATACCCACTACGTGGCGTGATGTTCGTTTTAACCCTTTGAATCCTTGGATCTAGTCCCCAATCTCTCTACAATTCGGTTTGAACTCGACATCAGCTTGCTCGTCTACCAACCCCTCAACTACATCACCGTGACCCTGGACACCCACCAACTTGAAACCAAGGAGTACACCGTTGACGATCTCAAAGATGTGATTTTACTTCCGTTTGGGACAACAGCGCGCAGCATTTTGGATGGCCCTACCGTCTACCGGAGACTCTCGTGTTTGGGAAGTCCCACACACCTGTACACTTGAAGACCTCGTGCTCTACTACGTCAATTCCCGACGGATTCGCCCTGTGGGGATCGCAAATGAATATCCTCGCGAATCCATTCCTTTCCCATATCGTATCGACCTCTTCACACTGCTGCCTCCCGCCTCCATGATGATGCTATATGCCAACTCCGACTACCTCTGACAGCCTATCAAACTTACCGTGAACTTCGTCAGTTCGCCTAGTCTCACCCAACCGTCTCGCGCGGAGCTTAAAACATGCCGCCCCTCGGGGAGGCGTGTGTGTGTGTGCCCCTTGTAATCACAGGGATCCTTTTGGATTTTTCTTTTCAGCATGGGGACTGGAGCCGATTTGCTTATCCAGTCCAACGAAGCGCAGCTATGGCATTTCGGTGGATGAGTGGTCTGATCAACCACTTGTACCTGCACAATTTTTAACCTTCCGTAAAGGGCTAACGCACTCTGCAGTCACGCACGGAACGTCCTCAACCTGTCGTCTCGTCGAGCCGTGGCTTTGGAATTTGGCCTTTAACTACAGGAGCCCAAGCCCCCCTCACCTGGTTTTTCAGGATTTGGTTTCTTAGGCCGGCGTGTGGCGCCGCTATCAGTTCAGTATGCATATCCATAAGTGTGTGTGTAACCCTTGGAATCAAAGGGAACCTTTGGGTTTGGAGCAGGGGGGCACAGGAGGCCCATAGAGCTGTGCCCAACGAAGCTCTCTATGGTGACCTCAGGATATGCAGCCTGATCAGCTGCACGTACCTGCTGTTTGAACTTTTGAACAAGGTTTGACTCCAATTTCCAGTAAAGTGCTAATGAGCTTGGCAGACATGAGCGTACGACGTCATCTCGACCTGCTCGTCGCTTTCGGTCTTGAGCTTTTGGCCCTTTCTCCGTTTGAAGACCTCCAGGCTCCATAGGGTTCTCCTGGACCTTTCAGGACTTGGTTTCTTAGGCTGGCGTGTGGCACCGCTGTCACGTCAGTACACCAAATCATAAGTGTGTGTGTGGGGCCTATGCAGGCAGAATTGTACAAAGAACGCGAAGCGGAGAAGACATCTCCTTACAGCGTAAGAATGATACCTATGCACACTTGCATAGTTGTACTGCTCTTGGTGTTCATCCCTTTTCACACCTGCCTTGGTCATGCAGATTCAGATTCGAGCAAGACTCCGTCCACACTCGGCTACCGGACATGTCTCCCTCATTGATATTTACTGACAAACTGCAAGCCCACCAACCTTCGCACTGTCAGCATCATGCGCACTTAAAGGGAGGCAGCCCAACAGGGACATAGGAAAGGTTTTGGTAGCCGTGCGCAGCCAGTCCAGCCCATTTGTATTCTATCGTCCCTCCATCCTTGGTCCATCCCTCAATCCCTCAATCCAGTCTATCCTTCAATTCAAGAGGTAGCAGAGTTTTTCAGAATTCATTTTAGAAACAAGAATCCTTTATGGGCTGTATTCAAGTATCCAGGCAAGCCGTGGGCGGAAGTTTCAGAAGAGAATATGACTATATAGAAACCCCGATGTAACCTATAACCCCCTGGAAACGCAAAGGCAAACTGTGGAGAACCACAAACATGGCCTATCGAACATGATAAAGCTATAAAACCCACCCCACCCCCTGAGAACAAAGCTGCTTCTTTTACACGCGGAATTGTAAACAAAAAATTGTGCGGTCCACAACGACTCAAATTTGGATTTTGCGGTGCCAGCGCTCATGCAGTCCGAATGCCGCACACGGCCAAGGACGGCTAAGGTTTAGGTACTTCCTCCAAGAATGAAAGTTGACAACCATTGAGAACTCCTAAAGCATCCTACACAGTGCGTGGCCGATCTGACCATGATACGAGCATGATGCGATGCCATTCCGGAACCCTTCGGAGGCACACTTTGCATTGACAAAAATGGGTCCGGCCATCTTTCACAAAGCCTTTTGTCCGAGACATGTGCCAATTTTGATGTGAAACGTTTGAAACTGAGCATTTTGTGCGAGAAATCCTCTGACATTTTGTAGCTTCAAACCGAGCATTTATATAATGCGAGACAACCTCAAATCATCAGCATTTCGGTCATGGCTTCCTCAAACTCGGACTTACGCAACCGTTCAGGTTGCTGTCACTTGCGCTACCGTTACTGTGCATTTTTCCCTTACACGACTGTTACTGTGCATCGGTGACTTAGACCACTGTCACTGTGCATTTGTTTCTTACTTTCTGAAAGTCTCCGTGCATCAGTGACTCACACGGTGGACCGACTCACACTCCTGTTACTGTGCCTGTTGGTTAGTCTGTCATGTCCGCAACGCGGAAGTTTCTTTTCCAAACGTTCTTTGATGATGTCCTTGAGGGTGACCCTGCACATGTCTCATGACTTGCAACGCTGTATGATGTCTCTGGCCTGGCACAGGCTTTGGTACTACTCAATGTGTTTCTTCTCTGCTTTTACACTGTGTAATCCCATCACCTCTGCTGTGTAGCTCTTCTGTTCTTCAGTTCTTCACAGTGATTTTTGTGGATTTTGCATGGGTTTTAGGAGCTTGACACTTTTTGGCAGGTTCCAAGAAGAAAACTGGGAAGTGTGGATCCCGGCACATCCTGCTTCATGTGGTTGAGAGCGCATGCTTCAGAACTGAATCGATTTTTTCAGGTCTTGTGTGGTGCAGTGACTGCCACCGCTTTTGTCCTGGAATCAACCAGAACTTGCAACAATGTACAGTGCTCATGTTTCACAGGTGGTACAGAGGCAGACCTTTTGTGCAGTCAAGCTCCATTTCCTGACTTCTTGGGCAAGTTGCAGGCAATTTGCAGTGCGATGATGTGAATTGGGCGCCAACGAACTTGAGCATGTCGTTTGGCTCAGACGGCGAGGGGCTCGAACCACGTCACGGTGTCTTTCCTATCACCAACCTTTCCAAAGATTGGCGTGATTGGTTCCCGAGAGTTGCAAGCAAGTATTGCTTGATGATAGCGATTGATGTGATACAGATATGATATAGCTTGAAACTGTCCTGCCATGGCTTTCTTGAAGCCTTATTTGCCTACACTGGCTGAACCCAGCCGTATTCCTGTGCATGGCGTGCCAGCACCGAGGCAGGCAGCCTGTTTGCTTCCTTTTCCTCCAATTCTTGCCTGATGTTTTCGCTAGGACAAAGTTGAGCCATGCTCCTTGGAAGAGGGTCACACATTTTGGTCACAAGGCATTGGAATTGAACAACCGATTCTTTGCAGAAACGTGAGAGTGAAGATCCTTGCATTTTACTTTCTGGAGGCTTCCGACAAGGGTTCAAGTGAAATTTTGACCAGGCACACTTTCTTGCTGCCAGCCTGATGTGCGGACCTCAAGAAGGATACGACACTGTGGCAAGATTAAGACATGGATTTCAAAACAGGGCTTTATCGAGAGTCCATTGCACAAGCTCCGACAATGCTTGCATAATGCACCATGAAGTTTTCCAAGCGACTTCTGAGGATCTTGACCGCCAAACGAACAAAAAGATGTGCTTCGCGCCAGGCCCAGGACATGATCGCTTCTATTCCAAGCCTGTTGAATCACCGACACAAGTTTGTTGGAATGTGTTGTTAGGAGAGTGCTACACTGCCGCCGCTTCAGATCCTTGGGTGATTGATGATTCCAACGGGTTTGTAAAGACATATTTATATATATATATAATGAGAGAAAATCAATGTGCCACGTGATCTTGCGTTTTCCGACGGGTTCCGCTGCACGTCGAAATTTGTTTCAGTTCTAAGGAGACTGCAGCGCTCCTTGAGGCAGATGTAGGCTTGGCAGATGGCATGTGACCTGTCATGAGCTGAGGTTTTACTCGGCCATCATCCCTGTGCAAGAATCTTAGAAAGGGGAAGCATCTTTTCTTCGTGAGAGCGGTTGGTAGTTGAAGCATTGTGCTGACATTTGCAAGGTTGGGCCAGTACATATTTCGACCCTGGCTGAGGACCCTAGGCCGGGAGGAACTTCGCACAAGAATGAAAAAGCCCTTTGCACCAAACGACAAACAGGTGTGGAGAAGATGGGTGAAGACGAGCTGATTGCGGAGATGGACGACTGGGGCTCAAAGAGGAATCCATCTCAGTGAATCCCTTCCTGTCTTGAGATATGCACATTTTGCAGCATTTTGAGAAAGAATTCTGATGACTGCTCCCGATTTCAGGTTGCAAGAGGCTTTACTGGACTTGGGTGGCTTCTACGTAAAGACGGGCCAGGCATTTCAATTGATACTTCAGTGCGCAGCCTGGGTGGGCGGCTCCTCAAGGGACCGGCGCCCGGTTTCACTGTTCAACAACATGTTTCCAGATTCGTTTCTGGTAAGACGCCAGCGACGGTTGACTATACCTTCACAAACATGTGATGCTTTCCTGGCTGCAGGTCCTCTCTACCCGGGTGGACTTATTCTCAAAACCGTGCTTGTCTAAGAGAGTATGAGATTGGGTTGTCCATCACACTATGGCCACTATGGTGTAGTTTGTTGGTGTCCTTGCGCCAGAGGTACACCAGCCGACTTCGGATTTTGCAGGCAAGAGCAGAATGTCCAGCAAACGAACCAACACTCTAAGACTCTCGACAGTGCTGGTGTGGTAGGACAGCTTGCCTCCAGTAGATGCTGAGTCCATTCGGGAGATAGTATCTGAGGCACGAAGAGCGCAGGTTCTTTGCAAATCCAACACACCCAGTGTAAACCCGTTGGGATTTGTGTGATTGCCGCAAGGAGCTTTGCGGTGGAGGAGACTTGTCGGAGCTGATACGGGAGCTGGATGATGAGCCGCTGGGCACTGCTTCCATTGCACAGGCGTCATGATTCGAAGTGCTTTCGATGTACAAAGAGGACTTGAACCACTTGTAAAGCCACTTGTTGCACTTGCTCCGTTTCCAAGAGGTTCACAGAGGAGTGTTGAACGATGGCCGGGAGGCGATTTGGATTGTTCGGCCTCTTGTTTTGATACCTCCTCCTTCGCAACTTTGTCTGCAGGTGGCCATCAAAGTCCTGAGACCGCACATGGAGCCTGTGCTGCGAGGCTGCATTCCAGAACTGAGACAGGCTTCGTGGTGATGAAATCAACATCATTTCTTGCACTTCTCTAGGCGACGTTGCCAATCTCAAGCTTTTTGCGCTGACTCTGAGGGGAAGGTCAGGAGAGGCGTAAAGCCTACGCACGCCTACTGAGACTCACTCTCACACTTGCCTCAAGGCTACCAGTGGATTATTATCCGGTGTTTTGTGAGCAGCCTGCTCAGAAGTGATGCTTGGGTTCTATAAATTTGCAGCTCCGTAATTGTTTTGCTTTACAAGGCTGGAGCGTGCATTGGATGGAGAACTAGATTTTCTTAGTGAAGCTCAAAGCGCACTGAAGGCGGGACTGATCTATGACATTTTTCTTGTCTTTTTAGCGTCACTGAGTTGTCCACGAGTTTTGCCCAGCCGCTGTCAAGCCGTTGAGCCCATGACATGACTGATCAGGTCCACGACATGGATTTCATTTTAGTTCCTTTCAAAGCAAACATTGACAATTGACAATAATTGATAATCATTGACATGTAATAGGAGCAACCTTGGATCCATTTACTTGAGCCAATGGGAAATTGTTGCTCCCACCCATCGAGTTCCAACGATGAGCAAGTGGTCGATGAGGACTGCCATCTTCCTTTGGATATATTTCCTCCTGGGAAGGGAGGAAAAGTGGGCATGTGGCGATAAAATCCTAGTTGCACTGTTGCACTCTCTTTTGTGGATGTTGGACTTGGTTGGCAAAGTTGCTTGCAGCCTGAGACTGTATTTGCTCTTGTTTTTGGTGGGGCCTTACTGGGCTTGCTTATTCTGGTTGTTGATTTTAAAACACATTGGTTTCTAAAGGATTTTTAGTCTTTTTGGTGTATTGCTAAACCCACCACCATTGTTTTTGCATCTTTTTACATAACATGGACCTGTCCGACTCCGACTCCACAATATCGCACAGCCACAACTAGATTTTGTGTCAGCTCAAGCAGATTGACAGATGAGGCTAGGAGTGTTTGGCACATGCAGCATTGTTTCCTTGTTGCACGATGTTTATTTCCCAGCAGTTCATGCACAAAATGCAACCAGGACTCTTGTTCGGAAGATATTGCCAACTTGCCAGTTGCTGGAGTCTTATAAGCTGCACAGGTGTCAATGTGAATTTGGGCATTTCTTTTGTTTTTTTGAAAGAAGGACATGAATTGTATGGGCTGTTGGCTGCTCGGAAGTTGAGGTCTCGCAGCAAGCCGAAAGCCCTACTTTGAAGCCGCGCCCAAAGCAAAAGGTTGTTCGGCCCGAGGTACCTTCGGCTCTTCTCAGACCCAAGAAATGACGTGGTGATGTTAGATGACGGTTTGGTGAACACAGCTTTGCCAGCCACCTTTCTATTGAAGAGCTCAGCACTTGGCCTTTCGACAGAACAATATGTTGCTCTACCTGAGATGTTTCACTTGCTCTGCCTTCTCAATCTCAAGTAAGTGACAAGAGGGAGTTTCTGTGACAGGGCTTGTGGCTGCCCTTGCGGAAAATGCCAGCACAGGCCCGAGTTCACAAAGAATTGAGCACTGAACCGTAGGCCGTACGGGGAAGCCTTTCTTCCTGCTCAATTGGTTCGCTTCCACTGTGTTGTTCTTGTTGCACCAGTCACCCTGGGCTGCACACTCTGGTGTCGAGCGCAGAGACCACTTTGAAAGGCATGGCTCTTGTTTTGTGCCGGCTATTTTACATACTGTAAACGTTTGGAACATTTCCTGTGTAGCCGCTTGGTGACTTTGCAGGGCCAACTTTAACGGGCTTTGGTCTTGCTTCGAGATCCTAGGGGACATGGATGCCTTGCTCGTCTCCCTAGAAGTCAGCTGGGCCAAGCGCCGCTTGGTGGATGATTCCCGTCAAACCTTCATTCCAGTCGAACAGACTCTTCTGATTTCCGGAAAGTATCATATAATATAGATACATGTACTGCACCCTTTAATCAACAAAGGTTGCGCAGCTTCGGCAATTAACTACGGTGCAGGCCGAACTTTGCAGTGTGGCTTTGGGTCTGCAAATGACTGTTCTGATAGCAAGGCCACTTGAGCAGCGGCCAACACTTCCCATGTAACGATTTGAAAAGGGGTTAATGTAAGATTCCTTCACGACAGGTGCGCAGTTGCGAAAGAGTCACGTAAGATATCGTGAACTTTTCATGTGGGAAGCGTGCAGCTTGCAAAGCTTGCGAATTTGTTTTTGCACAGAATGCAGTGCGGGAAAGCAAAAAAGCAAGCTGCGAACGTGTAGCGAAAGGAACTTGTGAAAGAAGGGCCCATTCGAACCACTTCTCGATTAAGTTTTGAACAACGCTCACTTGACATTTACAAAAAGAGGTGAGGATTCAATTTTGAAGCTTTTTGGTAGCGAATTCACATCGGGTAATGCTTGCCTGTAACATGTTGCAGGTTATGTGAGCAGGAGAATCGCTCAGCGCATTGATGAAATGGAAATGGAGGCTGGTTGCTGAGAGATGGCGCTTGTCATTAATGCTGTGTGACAGGGGTTAAAGACAGATGGCTTCAATATGCTTGTTTATAGTCCTATTGCTTCTTCGTTTTTCATTATGTCTAGAACAAGTTGATGAACCGATGCCTGATCCAATCTGCAAGGTGATCGGGACACCGAGCGACTTTACTCAGAACTTCCGAGCCCCTTACCAGAAATCCATTGAATTGTTTCTGAATAATGGTCCTTTTCTGGATACTTCGTGCACACAAGCATCTGCAGATTTGGACATGAACAAGGTTGGATTTGGCTGGCAGAGGGTCTTGGGGCCCGATGGCGACCTCCGCATAAATCCGTATTGGGAGGCCTTTGGTCAAATTTTGTGCATCGACCAGACTCTTGTCTGAAAGATAGCACTTGCGGAACAATTCGAGTTTTTCTAGCGGGCTGTCGAGAAGAGGTCCTTTCGATCGTCCTCGCCGTGTAGCATGTTCATAAAGCGTGCTCCTGTCCAATCAGGATATGGTTTGACACTTCACTCGCAGTGACAACTTTTAACTTTTGCCAATGGTGAGCGCATATAATATATACCAGTTCACCAGCAGTGAACACAGTCCACTTCACTTCAGCCTGTTCTGCGGTTCTGCGGCAAGAATCTACCGCTTCATCCGTAGAAAGAGCCGTGAAGCAACTTGCTCCTTCACCTAGAAGCGCTTCTCTCGTGGTAGCAGGACGCAAGTTCACTGGCACAAGCAACATGACCAGTGTGGAAGACGCAAGACCTCAGATCAGACCTTCCCAACATCGCACCGCGAGATAAGGACTGAGCTAGATGGTTCTTCCCCGGCAGCTTTGCTGCATTGCCAAGAAACACATTGGAACGCAGCATAGCAAGATGTTTACGTGCCCAGTAGTGTAACTGCATAAAATAGGGAGGAAAGTGCACATCTCAGGTGACGTTGAGACATCAGCTTCAAGACTTTGGGATGGTGATTTGCATGACAGCCATGGATGGCGTTTCTGCGAGCTGGAGAGCTAGCTGCAGAATGGTTTGTGCAATGCTGAAGGGCTAAGGATGAGAAAGTTAATGAAGCAAGTCCGGTGGTTGGAAAGCCGGACTCGTCCTGTGCCGAGGAAATTTCGAAGAGAATGAAACTCTACCGTGGACTTTGGCAAAGCTTGAGCCTCGAAAACAACGCAACAAGGGCGTCTCTAGTTTGTCCAATGTCCTTTACAGTAAGTGGCTCTTTCTTTTCAAGACAATTCGAAGTCATAAATTAAGTATTTCTTAAAGAAGTGCTTCCATTTTGCTGTGGAGGCCACAGGGGATTGATGTAGCAGAAGAGGTGCATCCCAAAAGGTCAAAAGGTCCACTGATCATAGTAAAGCGCACGTGTTGGCAAAGAGTTTGCTATCCGGCTTTGTGCCTTTTTAAATGGTGGATTGGCGAATGAACATGAGGGATTTACGCCAAGTAAAAGGTTGCCCCAAACACTTTCTTATGTAGTTTCAGCATCAGGGGCCCTCGCAGATGTTTTCACACGCACCGCCCGCGCACCTTAGCACTTTTCCATCGAATCTCGGCTCCAAAGTCAAGCATAAGCATACACTCTCGTCCCAGTGTTTTCCTTGCTCTTCTTCAACCCCTTCAAACTATTTCTTGTTTATTTCTTTAATGTCTCTGCAAAGATCGCTCCTCAATTTTGAAGTTCCTTCAATTTTGGCATTCAGTATTTTGACAGATGGTGGCCGTTGTTGGCTTGTAAACCAGACACTGGACTCTGTTACAGATTCTGTTATAGACAACCTGTTCTTGTGTTGGATGATCATAAATGTATTCACACCGCTGTCGAAGCTGCCTGCACGGATACTGTGCGTTTGTCTGTCTCAGTCTGTCTGTCTCGGTCGGTCGGTCTGTCTCGGTCGGTCTCCACAGGGGTAAGCACACAGGATGTCAACAATGCAGTCTGAGTCGGGCAGAACAGACGACATCACTGATGGCTTGCTAATTTTTCCCCAAACAGTTTACTGTTAGGGGTTCTCAACTTTTTCTTACGATGTGTCCGCCCTTTGCCCTTTCCCGCTGGCCATGTAGCATTTCTATTCATTTGTCTCCCAGGTCTGTCA